TTTTCAGCATCCCTTTGAGACAGGATGCTCCTGATTTTTGTAATATTGCGCAGGTGAAAGAAGGCAGATCTAGAGACTCGGGTTATGTTTGATTTAAAGGACATATTCTGATCAAAAATGACTCCAAGGTTCCTCGCAGTAGTACTGGAGGCAAGAGCTATGTCATCTAAAGTAACTATATGATTAGACAGCAGATTTCTAAGGTTTTCAGGCCCAAGCACAATAACTTCAGTTTTGTCAGAGTTTAGAAGTAAGAAGTTGCAGGTCATCCAGGCCTTTATGTCTTTAAGACATGCTTGAAGTTTGACCAGCTGATCTGATTCATTTGGCTTCATAGATAAATATAACTGAGTATCATCTGCATAGCAATGGAAATTTATGTTGTGCTTCCTGATAATATTGCCTAAAGGGAGCATGTATAAAGTGAAGAGAACTGGACCTAACACAGAGCCCTGTGGAATGCCGTGACTAACTTCAGTTTGTGTGGAACATTCGTCATTAACATGAACAAATTGAAATCATTCTGATAAATAAGATTTGAACCAATTTAGCGCACTTCCTTTAATCCCAATAACATGTTCAAGTCTCAGCAGCAAGATGCTGTGATCAATGGTGTCAAAAGCAGCACTGAGATCTAAGAGGACAAGTATGGAGACAAGTCCTTTATCTGAGGCTAGGAGAAGATCATTGGTGCGGGCATGCAGAGCAGTCGGCTGTGATTGGCTGAATGTCCGTGCATTACGTCCGTCACGTTGTTACCATTGCAAGCACGGTGTGTAAACAGACGCACTGGTTTAGAGGTGAAAGGAGGACTTCAGTGAGCGGGACATGGACGTCACATTTCTGCTTGATAAACTGTTCAGGGTTAATCTTCAGGGCTTATAATGTGAAATACACATAATTTATCTTTTACAGTAAAACACTTTTATAATCTGGAAACTAGTTGGTTTGAGAGATCTGGAGATGGGGGAGACTGTGGTTCAGTGGGTAGAGTCGTCGTCTCCCAACCAGGTTTTCAGGCCCAAGCACAATGACTTCAGTTTTGTCAGAATTTAGAAGCAAGAAGTTGGAAGGGTCTTCTTCGACGTGAGTTTTCTCTAGAAATGTCATGGAACAGCAGACCTTTGCCATGTAAATTCATATCAGGTAGTTCAGTAGTGGACAGCCTCTAATTTAGTTTTAAAACTCTTAATCTGTCGATACTTGAGAAAAATGCTTCTTGGGAAGTTTGTGTTGGTCATCAGAGGACATTACAAAAGCCTACTAATATATCACTTTACTTAGTCCCTTATCCACCAGTGTGGGAAACCATGTCTGTGCTATGAAATTATGATTCATATAAAATCCATGGGCCTGATACCAGACTGATTTTGTGTTTGTGGGAAATGAGTTACAAGATGAGCCATACTGTCGTAGTGACAACATATGACAACATGGCGCCCACCGAGGCGAACGTGTTTGCGCATTCCACTCTTGAAGGCCGTTTTTTTTTCTTCGTTTTCTTCCTTTTTGTGTGTTTTTTGCTTTTTCTGCACAAATGTCATGCACTGCTTACATACAGCAGACAGGCATTGCTGGATATCGCCAACTCACAAAGCCACTGGGAATTTACTGGTTTCATACCACCAGAACTACAACTCATTGTTCGCTCTGGCAACAATAACAACAATGGCGAGGAAAGCCACCATCGCCCGCGAAGAGCCTCCGTAGCACCAGCAGGCTGAAATCAGGAGAGCAACCCGAAGACGGAGACGCAAACGGGGCAGGCGAGGAGGACTCCATGTTAAGCTAAAAGCTCGCGCTACCCGACCGCCATTACCCAGCCTCTTTCTAGCTAATGTACAGTCTCTGGAAAACAAACTGGACGAGCTAAGGGCTAGGATTACAACACAATGGGAAATCAGAGAATGCTGTGCTCTAGTTCTCGCCGAGACTTGGCTTTCTGACAGAGTTCCAGACTCAGCGAGTCAGCTACAAACACACACTGTACATCGAAGCGATCGCACTGCTGCTTAAGGGAAAGTAAAGGGAGGTGGTGTGTGTGTTTATTAATAACTCATGGTGTGGAGATGTACGGACTGTTTACAAGCACTGTTCGCCAGACGTCGAGTTTTTATTGCTGAAATGCTGGTCCTACTATCTAACCAGAGAGCATAGTGTTGTGTTTTTAGCAGCTGTGTATGTTAGCCCAAGAGCTGATCCCTCTGCGGCTCTCAACAAACTCTATGATGTCATCAACGCGCTAGAGATAGCGCACCGCGATGCTCTATTTATCGCTGCAGGCGACTTTAACCAGTGCAATTTAAAGACCGTATTTCCCAAATATTACCAACATGTTAACATTCCCATTCGGGCCAAGAACACTCTGGATCATGTTTACAGTAACATATGGGGTCCCAGCTCTCTTCATGTCATTGACCAGCTCCTCCCTTGTAGTTCTGGGCTGATTCCTCACCTTTCTTGTCATCAGTGATACCCCACAAGGTGAGATCTTGCATGGCACCCCAGTCCGAGGGAGACTGACAGTCGTCCTTAGCCTCTTCCATTTTCTAACAATTGATCCAACAGTTGATCTATTTTCACCAAGCTGCTTGGCAATTGCCCCGTAGCCCTTTCCAGCCTTGTGGAGGTCCACAATTTTGTCTCTGGTGTCTTTTGACAGCTCTTTGGTCTTGCCCATGGTAGTAGTTGGCATCTGACTGACTGTGGGGTGGTCAGGTTTCTTTAAAGAGCTCAGACAGGTGCTACTAATTTAGATTAATGTGTGGAGTAGAGGTGGGCTTTTTCAAGGCATAGTAACAGGTCTTTGAGAGCCAGAATTGGTGTTCAAATACTTATGTTCAGCAGTGCTAGACAAATAAATTCTTTAAAAATCATACAATGTGATTTCCTGAATTTTTTTTTTTTTAATTCTGTCTCTTCAGAGTGGGAATGAACCTACAATGTGAATTTCAGACCCCTCCATGACTTCTAAGTGGGAGAACTTGCAAAATCGCAGGGTGTTCAAATACTTCTGTTCCTCACTGTACATTAGTACCTGTATTGACAACATTGTGCCTACTGTACAAGTCAAGGTTTCCCAACCAGAAGCCCTGGATAAACAGTCAGGTACGCCACATGCTGCATGCTCGCTCTCATGCATTCAGATCAGGCGATGAGACGGAGTACAAAGCTGCGAAGTAAAGACTGAGGAAAGCCATCACAGTGGCCACGAGGCAGTACAGAAAGAACCTGAATGGCTTATATTCTACTGTTGACTCCCAACGGATGTGGCAAGTCCTGCAGCACATCACAGACTACAGGACCACCACCAGCATTAGCTCCACAGACAGCCTGCCGGATGACCTCAACATCTTCTACACCCGCTTTGAGACCTCCAGCTACAGCACAGAGAAGAGGCACACATACACCTGGACCGACCAACCCCCCACCTCCCCTCCACTAACTGTCTCACCAGGCCAGGTATGCACAGTCCTGAGGAAGATCAACCCCCATAAAGCGGCAGGACCAGACAACATTCCTGGGAGGGCTCTCAGGGCATGTGCCAGCAAGCTGGCTGATGTTCTCACCACCATCTTCAACCTCTCCTTCAGCCAGAGCATCGTCCCCACCTGCTTTAAGACCACAGCCATAGTCCCCCTTCCCAAGAAGAGCCCGGTGACCTGCCTGAACGACTACAGGCCAGTGGCACTCACTCCAATTATTATGAAGTGCTTTGAGAGAGTAGTGCTGGCCCGCAATCAGAGCAGTATACCGGGCACCCTGGACCCCCTGCAGTATGCCTACCGGCACAACAGGGCCACCTCAGACGCCATCACGGCTGCCCTCCACTATTCCCTTTCTCACCTGGAAAATGGAGACTCCTACATCAGGATACTCTTCATTGACTACAGCTCC